GAAATTATCCCATGCGTATTATCTAACCGCAGTGCAATGAAATTGGAAATTAATGACAAAAGGAACTCCAAAAACTCCATAAACACTGGGAAATTAAAAAATAATCTCCCAAACAACCATTGGGTCACAAAGACATTAAAGAAGAAATTAAAAAATACTTACAAAAAAATAAAAATGTAAATACAACTTACCAGAATCTGAGGGATGCAATGAAAGCAGTCCTCAGAGGGAAATTTATAGCAGTGAACACACACATAAGGAAAACAGAAAGAGAACAAATAAATAGCCTAATGCTGCACCTCAAACGTTTAGATAAAGAAGAACAAGTTAAGCCCAAAGCCCAAAGAAGGGAGGAGATTATAAAGATTGGGGTAGAAATTTATGCAGTTGAGACGAAGAAAACTCCCCAAAACATAAATGAATCAGAGTTGGTTCTTTGAAAGAATAAATAAAATTGATAAACCCACAGCCAACCTTATCAAGAAAAGGAAGGAAAGAACTCAAATTCATGCAATAAGGAATGAAAAAGATGAAATTACTACAGATTCTACAGAAATTCAGAAGATCATTAATTCTTACTTTGAAAATCTTTACTTCAATAGGATAGAAAACTCAGAACAAATGGACAGATTACTAGATATATACGAAATACCAAGCTTGAGTCAAGAAGATATAAAAATCCTGAAAAACTCAGTATCAACTGATGAGATTGAAAATGTGATTAAAAACTTACCAACAAAGAAAAGCCCAGGCCCTGATGGATTCACAGCAGAATTTCTTTTGTTTGTTTTTTTCTGGTACTGGGAATTAAACTCTCAACTTCACGCTTGCCAGGGAGGCACTGTGCTGCTGAGCTAAATCCCCAGCCCCTCACAGCAGAATTTTACAAGAAATTGAGAGAAGATTTAATACCACCAATCCTCAAACTCTTCAATGAAATTGGAAAGGAAGCAATTCTCCCTAACTCATTTCTGGAGGTAAGTATTACACTCATACCAAAACCAGAGAAAGACTCAACCAAGAAAGAGAACTACAGACCAATCTCCCTAATGAATATAGATATAAAAATACTCAATAAAATACTAGCAAATAGAATGCAGCAAATCATCAAGAAAATCATACACTATGACCAAGTATTATTCATTCCAGGAATGCAGGGATGGTTCAATATTCACAAATCAAGAAATGTTATACACCATATCAATACAGCTAAAGACAAAAATCACATGATCATCTCAATAGATGCAGAAAAAGCTTTCAACAAAGTCCAACATGCACTCATGATAAAAACTCTACACAAAATGGGATTAGATGGTCTTTACCTAAACCTGATCAAAGCCATCTATGACAAACCAACAGTCAACATCATACTAAATGGACAAAAACTGAAAGCTTTTACTTTAAAATCAGGAAAAGGACAAGGAAGTTCCTGTCACCATTCCTGTTCAACATAGTTCTGGAAGCCAGAGCAATTAGATAAGAGGGAGAAATAAAAGGAATAAGGATAG